ACTGTTGGTGGAAAAAAGAAATTGGAGGACGTCATCTTGGGCTTCAGGAAACTGTGATGGTATATTTTCATTATTTTCAAATATTTTGTAGATTCAGCTCTGCACTGAAACTGCTTTGTATTTTTAAACTCTGAACAATGGAACTGAAATTAGAATATTATAAATTATCGAAACAAAAAGCATCAGTACCTCTCATCCCCCGACTGATATAACGTGTTTTGTGCCCCATGAGCATGAAGTGCTGCGACGGCCTTCTTACACCTCAAATGTCCTCATCTCATGACAGTTTGCACCTGTGTCGTGTGTTTGTTAAGTTTTAGAGAGATTTATAGGATTTTGAATGTGTGTCTGTCTCTGACTTTAGCTTGAAGGACTGGGGACAGGACAGCTGATCCGTCTGCCCCTAAAAAATCCATTAATCGACAATACCTAGCTCTTACACTGTAACTGACACCTTTATAGTCATTCATTTAGCTCTTGATAAAAAACAAAATTATATATAGTCTATACCTGCTAGGCCCCAACTGTATGTTTTAGCTTCTGTCTTTATGTGGTGGAAAATGAATGTGAACTTCAAAAGTGTGTGAGAATTTTTTTGGTTTGATTATATTGTAAAAACATTTGTAAAATAGAATTTCAAATTGTATGAGACCCCTTCTTTTCCAAAGATTATCAATTTCTTTGTCTTTGGCAAAAAATCCAATCCAATCTAAGTTCACTTTAAAAGCCTCTGGATGAAGCCGTGGATTGGTCTGTTGGTTGGTTGGCAGCTCTACAGCCGGCCGTGCAGCTGAGGCCTTAACCTCTCATAATGGGAGCTTTCTGAGACTCTGAGGATGTTTCAGTTTAATGAATGCTGCAATAAATGATATAAATATGTTGATGGTTTCACATATAAGAGCAAACAGAACAGACAGAGCTCACATCTATCATTTTACAGTGGCTGTGTGTCCACTACAAAAGTCCCAAATCCAGGGTGGATCACTGAATCTACAAAAACCTCTCTATTCAATCTAATCTACATCTATTCAATTTATATCTAATCAAAATGATGTGTGATTATACAAATCCTGGCTCATTTTCTGACAGATTAACCACAAATAATCTGATAAAAAGGTTACTGAGCCTCTCTCTGTGGTCTGTCTAGATTAGCGTGGGACAGCAGGCTGAAGGTGTCGGGGGTTTGAATCCCCGCCGCCGTCCCTGTCCACTGAGGCTTACTGCACAAAACAGAGACTACATTTGCCTCTTGCTTTATGAACTTGTTTTGTTTCATCAGGGTTATAAACTGCAACAAGCCAAATTCTGTCAGCTGTAAAATCCAGTTTTGCACTGAGTTGACCTATTTCCATTTAAATCCACTTTACAAGTGACTTCAGCTGTCAGGACATTACCTCAATGACTAGTGACAGGGGCATATTTTTATCAAACGCTCAATTTATGTTGGGTTTTTTTTTGTACAAACTTGGCCTAAATAATGAGAAACAGTGATGTAAACCATAAAAAAAATCATCAACATATAAGTAAGTAAGCAGATTTTTACACAACAGAGCCTCCTGGTAGAATCAGGACAGTCTGCAATACGTATATGTAAAAATAAAGTAAAGGGTGTTTGTCTCTTGCTTATACCCTTGAGGAGGTGCCTGTTTGTATCTGGTTAAACGAGACAGTTCCTGCATTAGTCAAACAGCTTAAGACAAACTGCAGTTAAGTTCCGAAGCAACGCAAAAAGTCTTTGTGAATTGGAAAATCAGAAGTACGCTAAACAGTGGGAACTTTATGGAGCGCTGCATCGACTGACAGCCGTAACACACAGAACATACAGAAATAATGAAGTCAAGATAGCAGCCAAGACTATCCTCTCAAGAAAAACTGCAGCATAAGAACATTGGTTTACAAGTGATAAAGACCTCCAAACAGCTCTACGAGTTATGACTTTGTTGGGAGCAAAGGAGGAAATAGCCACAAAAGCTACAGAGGGAGGAGGTCGGTTCCAACAGTCAATGTTTGTTTCATTCCACGATGACCATGAGTGTGTGGTCTTACAGAGACACAATGGTTGCTGGGGTTTAGAAGCATTATATGCTACCTGTGTGTCCTGACTTTATCTAAAAATGCATTTTTGTCCTTTTAACTGTTAAGGTGATTCTTTCCTCACCTAAACTTTACAAAGATAAAGTCAGAAGACTCTTATTAGACTATTATTTTGTCATTTTAGGTATAAGAACTTGTTGTTGGACTGGCACTGTCTTACTTGGTGAACTGACTGACTGCAACAGTGTAACTAAATACAGTCATTAAAGACAGCGTGTGTGGGATTTCTGGTGTAAGAAGCTTGTTTAAGACTAGAATTGGACTACAGTGGATTGGTTTGAGAGGTTTCTATGAATGTGTTGATTCTTAATTATCCATTGTGATTCACTGAAATTAGTCGTAACTGATACTGTATGAATCCAGCTTTTAAATGGAAAGAAGCAAGCATAAAAGTATTTCAGATTTTTGGTGCAGTTTCGCTTTTAATTTCTGTTGAAAAATCATATTTTTCAATTCAGATCTGTACAAACTGAGAAGGATGAGCTGGATGGATGTTGTATTTCTGTGCGGGAGATGCAGCGTGTTGGCAGCTGGCCTGTCTGCTGTTTGTTTAAGCTTCACGAGTTAAACTGTGATGACACTTTGACAGGTTTCCTGTTATAATAATATTTCAAACCAGGTTTCTTCCCTCATCGTTTCCTGTCACAACCGTGTCAGTCTATTATGAGTCTTTTTTTTGTTTTGTTTTTTAAGGCAAAGATGCTAAAAGTGTGTTTGTGTGTGTGTGTAGGTCTGCATCTGTGTGTGTGACAGACAGAGCCAGATGAGCAGGCAGATGTTTCCTCTGTCTCCACTCCGACTGTCTGAGGAAGACTGACAACAGCTGGACCAATGCCAGACACACGCACACAGACAAACACACGCACGCACACACTCGCAGCCATGTTGGAGTGGCAGCGTGGAACCGTGGGCCTCGATACTGTTGCAGACTTGAAACCAAATATATGTAACACAACTAGGGATGTCCGATAATATCGGCCCTCCGATATTATCGGCCGATATTCACAAAAAAATGTAATATCGGGAATTAT